GAATAAAGCTTGTACATATATCAAAAATACTGATTTTGATGTGGATGTTAAATTCAAAATGCAACAAGATATTACAAAATAAACAGGACTCAAGAAACAAAGGACCTCTTCTTAACTTGTCACATCATTTTTAGATGACTGTATGTTCTTGAGCCCACATATGGTATTTGTGCACATATGTGCACATCGGAGGGAAGCTAGGAGAAGGGCACAAAATCGGAGGGAAATGGGTAAAAATACAACAGAGGGGCCCATCAGCTGCACTGGACATTGATGAAAGTCAACTAAGCAACTCAAGGGCAGTGATGGGAGGAAGAGAATGGGAGAGAAAAGGAACAGCTTACACTAAGCAAAAGGATAGAAATGGACATACCACCTGATTTGGAAAAAATAGTTGTAGTGTCAAAGTTTGTAGAGTTCATAAGCCTTATAGACCATGATAATGACACTGCGCCTTTTGAATGTTAAAATGTGTTTGTGACTTTAGCTAAGTATCACTATCTACAATGCTGTGAAATTTATGTAATCACTTAATCTCAATAAAGAAAAAATACTGCCAGGCGCCGGTGGCTCACGCCTGTAATCCTAGCTACTCAGGAGGCTAAGATCTGAGGATCTCGGTTCAAAGCCAGTCCGGGTAAGGAAAGTCTGTGAGACTCTTATCTCCAATAAACCACTAGAAAACCGGAGGTGGCACTATGGCTCAAGTGGTAGAGCGCTCACCTTGAGCTGAAGAGCTGAGGGGCTGTGCCCAAGCCCAGAGTTCAATCCCTACAACTGACCAAAAAAAAGAAAAAATACTGATTTTGATACCAGAAAATTAGACTAAAGAAATATTTTCATATGCTTACAATTATTCAAAACCCTACAGTAATATGTATAAAAAACAATTGTTCATATGTTATCACTAGTATGTTATTTTTTTCTCCTCCTTCTGAACCCAATCTCAACAAAGCCTCATTATTTCATTTTCAATCATATGTAGGAAATATTTTTACTATATTCACCTTCATTCACCTTTCCCTCTCCATCCAATACCTATACCCCAGGACATATTTCACCTCCCTCGTATTCATTTTGTTCATTGTTCAAATACGTTTCACCATGATATTTTACACATGTGTGCCCTATACTTTAGCTTGATCTATATACAGATATGCAATCAATTGTATACATATTTATATACACGTTATATACAGTGAGAGACAGTACATATCCTTGGGGACATGCCTTTGAAAGTGATATTGGGACCCTATTCCTTCCTTTCTCTTGGCTTCCCTGTCATCATAGGTGAGTAGATTCCTACTCTATACACCTGCCATGGGTCCCAAAGCATAAGGATTAAGTGACCATGGTCAGAAAAATAAGCCAAAATAAAGTTTTGTCACAGCAACAAATAATTGATTAACACCTCTGCTTTTAGGTTTACATATCTATAGGCTTGAAACTCCTTTAGTATGTATTTGGGATAACGAGAAATGGCTTTTTCAAGATAGACTCTTCAGTCTAGAAATGAATTAACAAATGAAACAGCTAATGAATAGCTAATGATGGCTGATAAATTTTCAAATATTATATAATCATGAATTTCATTCAAATACAGAAAAAGGGGCTGGGAAGGTGTCTCAGTAGTAGAACACTTGCCTCAAATACAGAATAAATAGGCCAAAATTTCATTTAAATCATTGGGTGCTGTGACTCACCAGCACCTACCTTCTCAAGAGGTTGAGGATTGTGGTTCAACACCAGCCTGGGCAGGAAAGATGATTAGACTCTCTTTTTTTTTTGTTCGGTCATGGGGCTTGAACTCTGGGCCTGGGCTCTATCCCTCAGCTCTTTAGCTCAAGGCTAGCACGCTACTGCTTGAGCTACAGCGCTACTTCCAGTTTTCTAGTGGTTTATTGGAGATAAAAGTCTCACGGACTTTCCTGCCTGAGCTGGCTTTGAGCGCCGTGATCCTCAGATCTCAGCCTCTTGAGTAGCTAGGATTACAGGCGTGAGCCGCCGGCACCCAGCTGATGAGACTCTTTATCTACAGCTAACCACCAAAAAGCCAAAAATAGAACTGTGGTTCAGGTGGTAGAGTGCTAGCCTTGAGTGAAAAAGCTAAGCAAGAGTGTGAGGCTCTCAGTTCAAGCCCAACTACCAATACAAAATAAAATTTCATTGAGCTTATTAATTTAGGAGGAAACTAGTAAAATGTGAAGACTAGCTGAAAGGAGTATCCAAATTTCCAGACAAGAATAAGCCTTTAGGGGGGCTGGGAAGGTGGCTCGGTGGTAGAGCGGTGGTAGAGCGCTTGCCTTACATGCCTGAGGCCCTGAGTTTGATTCCTCAGCACCACATAAGCAAGAAAAAAAAGAATAAGCCTTTAGGGAATACATCAACCAATTAGTTTAATAGACATGAACTTGGCAAAACAATCATCCACTGAATCTCATCCACTGAATCTGGGCACACTTTGCACATTAATGGACAAGAACCATTTACATTTTTGTCAATATTCTGCAACTTACAAAGCTAAAAATAGGGCTGGGAAGGTGGCTCAGTGGTAGAGCGCTTGCCTTGCATGCATGAGGCCCTGGGTTCAATTCCCTAGCACCACATAAGATAAAAAGCCGGAAGAGGCGCTGTGGCTCAAGTGGTAGTGCGCTATCCTTGAGCTGAAGAGCTGAGGGACAGCACCCAGGCCCAGAGTTCAGGCCTCACGACCGGACCCCCCAAAAAAAAAAAAAAACAAAGCTAAAAATAGCTCAGAAAATGAAACCTGCAAAGATTTCAGGGAAGCAAATATTCTGCAGAGTGAGTAGCTTTTCACAAAAGACACAAGCAATCATATATGTATACATGTATATATATATATATTATATACTGAAAAGCCTTCATAATATTTTCCCATAAATATCATTTTCCTTGAGTGCATATCATGGCTGAGTACTCTCCTGGGTGCTTTAGATGTATTAATCCATTGAATTCTACTAACAGTCATCCTGTAAGTCTTATGGTTGAGAACACTGATGCTCAAGGAATAGTAGACAACTCACCCAGGGTTACAAAGTACTAGGAGATGGGGCCAGGATCTGAATCCACATAGTTTTGCACTAACTTATGCTACCAGGGATAAACATATGTGAAGAACAAAAAGATAATAGACCTGACCAATTAGATATAGAAAGGGTAAGACGTAAAGATGATTCCAGAATTTTTATTGGTTAATTATAAAAAGATATACACAGTCCAAATAAATGAAGAAAAGTTTGTTTGATTTGGATTTTGGTACAAGATGCCCAGATGGGTAAAGGCTTAGATGGGCAGAGGATCAGTACTGGACATGTGGACGGATGATTTTTTTTTTAATACAGCAGGTTTAAAGTGTGGTATTGAAAGCAGTAGTACATGTCTGTCAGAACTAAAAGAAACTCAGAGGAAAGAAAGGACAGTAGGGACTGGGCCTGAGGGATAGTCTCACAAATGGCTGGAGTTGAGGCTGAAAGGTTTCGGAGAAGCCAGACTCCATCTAAAGCACACTAAAGATTATTGAGTAGGGGCCGGGCGCTGGTGGCTCACGCCTGTAATCCTAGCTACTCAGGAGGCTGAAATTCTGAGGATCTCAGTTCAAAGACAGCCCGGGCAGGAAAGTCCAAGAGACTCTTATCTCCAATAAACCACTAGAAAACCGGGAGTGGTGCTGTGGCTCAAGCAGTACAGCTTGCGCCTTGAGCTGAAGAGTGCAGGGACAGCGCCCAGGCTCAGAGTTCAAGCCCCACGACCGACCAAAAACAAAACAAAATAAAATCTCTCCGGCTGGGAAGGTGGCTCAGTGATAGAGTGTTTGGCTTGCATGCATGAGACCCTGGATTCAATTCTTCAGCACCACATAAGCAGAAAAAGCCGGAAGTAGAGCTGTGTCTCTCGTGGTAGAGCGCTAGCCTTGAGCTGAAGAGCTGAGGGACAGCACCCAGGCCCAGAGTTCAGGCCCCACGACCAACAACAACAAAAAAAATGTTGAGTAGGAAGGGCCACAATCGGATGTACATTTCATGATTTTTTTTTTTTTCTGATCCTGGGGCTTGAACTCGGTGCCTGGGTGCTGTCCCTGAGCCTCTTTGTGCTCAGGGCTAGCAGTATTCCACTTGAGCCACAGCACCATTTCTGGCTTTTTTGAGTAGTTCATTGGAGCTAAAAGTCTCACGGGGACTTTCCTGCCCCGGATTACAGGTGAGAGCCACTGGCGCCTGGCTACCCATGTACATTTTAGAAAGAACTAGTCTGGCTGCAGCAGTTTGGGCAAATTGGAGGCAGGATATATTACTAGGATCTAGCGGTAAGTGGCTGTTGGCTGGACCAACAGGTTAGTGATAGAAATTAGATCCAATTAATCTTTGGCAGGTCTGTGTGCTAGAGCACTAAAGGAGTCCCATACACCATGTGAACAGATATTTAATAGTTTTAAATCAAGGTAACAAACTTTATCCTTCTACCTTCATATTCTGTCTTTATAAGGACCTGGAGGCCTTACTGATAAACTTCAGACTCTTTAGAATTTCATGTTGGAGCCTGGAGGTCCAGAAGAACAGCCTCTGATGCATGGCATCCTCTGCTCCTCCTTCCTTCCCCAAATCTGCACATTGCAGTAATGCAGATATTTGGAGTGTCTGAATCTTAACCCACTCTTAGAATTACATTGTAAATGGAGGCAATTTGGCTTTTATAATGCCTAACAGGCTGGCAGGGAGGATAAACTAGATCACCAAACAATGGCTGCGCCCTCAAGAAACTTAGGAGTGCCGAGGCCGTCAGCCCGCCCCCGGCGGGGGTGGGGGAGTGCGGGAGGGAGTCACCGATAGTGGTTGGTTGTTAAGCAGTTGAGTCTCTATTGGATCGCCGGCTGCTGGGAAGCTGGTACCGGCAGCTGGTAGTCGCCTCGCCTGGGAATTCCGGCAGGGCCGTGTTCTGGCCACGCGCGGGATGGTCACTCCTGGGACAGTGTGATCGCACACGCAAGCGTGTTCCGCTCTCAGGGCGACTTGAGGCGCTGGAATGGCTGGACTAACTTGTGCAGCTCCTTTTTGGAGACGCGAGCAACTCGTTACCTGTCCCAGGTGATCAGGGGTCGCTTGAGGATAGACATGGGAGGGGTTATCTCGGAGAAGGACGGACGGACGGGACTGGGGCGGGCCTCCTTCGCATCTAACTCCCTGAGAGCGGCGCAGGCCTGGATGCAGAGGACCACAGCGACACCTGGCTCTGCTCCGCGAGGACGCCGCGCGCGCCGCTGCGGTCGGGGAAGAGGCCGGGG